TAAGATGTTCTCTGTCTGGTTCCTCATTGTAAAGGTACCACTTACCTTCCCCTTTGAGATTAATCAATACTTAGAAGATACTTGGAAACTATTAAAAGTATATTTCTCCTCAAACTTTCATCCACTAAATCTAACATTGATCAGTGGATTTTTGCATTAACAATTATGGTTATAGTGTTTGTCTAATAGTAACTTTCTATCTTCCTCTTTCCTTCTACATTTATTCATTGAAATATATCATAAGGAAGAGCTTTCCTTTCTCCTTGTTTATCAGTGTGGACTCAATATTTATTTTATCCTATGGATTAAAATATAATACAGGCATTATTTATTGTGCTGCTCAAATATGTAAACTATAATATTTTAAATTGGGAAAATACTCCCCTGTGAGCACAGAGGCACCTAATAAGCTCAGAGAAAATTCTGCTAAATAGAAGATATTCAAATTATGATTACAAATCTCTCTAGATTAAAATGTGTAAATATTTGGGTGCAAATGTTTTGACAGATACTATCTTTGCCTCCATTTGTGTGTGTGTGGGTTTTTTTGTTTGTTTGTTTTTGAAAAATTAAGTTCATCAAATAAGCTGTTTTTATTTATGGTTTTGAATATTTTTCCAAACATAGATATTGTAAAACCTGGTACAGGATATAAGTTTATACTATTAAATAGGAGCTCCATAAAGAGTTTCTTTCCATAAGTCATGCTTTCCAAAATATAATCACAAAATTTCAAAATTAAATATTTTATACAATATGAACTCTTATTGTTTAATTTTTAAGTTAATTCCTTGTTTTCATAGGGATACATTTCCCATTTGAAATTTTTTTCAATAATTGCAATTATAAAGATTAAAAAGATGAAATTACTCTTTTCCTTCGTGTGTTGAATATTTTAACTAAAAACTTTCAAATAATTTTTAACAAAATGCAATTTCTAAAAGCTGATTAGTGACCAGCAACAAAGAAAATGTGACATGAATAGAATTATTTTTTAAATTAACATCAACTTTATCTTTCAAATATTGTATGTAGTTCTTTCTAACTTTGTACATATAAAACTGTGAATTTTTACTAATTACTATTTCAGTTAATGTAATAGCACAGCTTTATTACATGTGCACCATCATCAATCCCAGCACATTTCTGCTCCATAGAGTTACTTCTATAGTAAAAAAATTATTTTACTGTGATGCTGAATTCCATCAAAATATGCATTTGTATTATCATTTGCAGTCACAAGTTTAATTTTTAAAGTTACTGTAGTCTTTACAATAAGGTCAGAAAATTCAACTTTGACACAATAAACTTCCAAAAGCTTTTCTTTGATTCTGTGAATTGAATTAAACACTTTTAAATTATTATTGGAATTAATTGATTTTCTATTTTTGTAAAACTGTCATAATTGGACTGTCTGCAAATTTCTGATTATGATGTCAACTCATTGCTTTATATTTCTCACAGGCCCACCCAAGGAAACTTGGAATTAAAAATGAGAGAAATTAATGTAAGATAACTGTCCCTTGACCTAAATGAAGTCCAGCTGCTTGGGGTGACTTCTGCAGCCGCATGCATACATCACGTGCACTTGGGCTTAAAGATATAGGTCAGATGTCAACAAGTGGGGTCCAGGTGGGGAAGCAGATTCAAAGTGGAAGTAGCAACATGAACAAAAAGCATGGACAGCAAAGGCCAAATGTTTTAAGCGAATGGGCACCGTCATTAACATAATGACTATCTTTTGATGTTGGTACTTCCTCAGCAGATTTCTGTATTTTGATTGTCTTATGGACCCTATGGTGGATGGTGAGTATTTTGCGTGTTCTTTGTTTATCATCAACTTTCTTGAGAAACGGAAAATCGATACTTAATATTTTTAAACATGTGTACACTCAACCTTGTTTCTGAATTGGTTTATTGCCAAGTAAAATAGCTATAGATTTTATAGACAATAACAAGTTATATATTTAGAGCATAAGATAGATGACTAACCTACTGTAGTAGCAGCCTCCCACACATATTGCACTTACACCTAATCTTTAATTCCCTACATGTCCCACTAAACCCACTGACTGTTATCCTGGTGGCTTCATGCCTCTCACAGTCATGGCATGGGCCACCCAGCATGGGCTATGACACACTGGCTGCTCTATCAGCGGACAGCAGGATCTGCAGCATCAAATATCTCTCTCATCCCCAGCAGAACAGGTTGCAGTTAGCTGTTGCTAGCTGCTCATGTTCAAATGTCATTCTATCAGCCAGTGCCCTGCATGCTACACTTCAAAGGAAGATGTAAGTTTCCTTGAGACTAGAAAAGGTGGGGAAAGGAGAGATGGGCTGTCTTTCAGTGTTTACCATGTGTTGCAGCGAGAACTCTGTCAAATGCACCTGCCTCTGACCTTCTACTAGGAGACACTGTGTCAGAAATTGAAGTATAATGTAGAGGTCTTACCAAATCTCTTGAAATGCAACTATTAAGAGTGATCCTCCTTTCAAAAGGAGAAAATCCAAGGCAAATGCTAAACTGGACTTAATGCTTGAACAATAGCCTAAAATAAGGATGTTCTAGGCAAATCAGGCCACATGTGTCCTTCTGGGAATCGAACCCTGACCTCCTGGTTCATAGGTCAATGCTCAACCACTAGGCCACCATGGCCGGGCTCCTTAAACCTGGAATTGTCTTTGACTCTGGCATGTACAGTCAACCACTGAATCTTCTTTATGCTTTCTTAATTCTTACTGTATCCACCTAGGCCTAGATGCTGTTACCACATGCCTGTATTACAGTAGTTCCCAAACTTATTGGTCTAGGAATCATGTCCTCATTCTATCCATTCTCTTCACAGCTACCATAGTTTTATTTATCCAGAAACTTTGTGTCTCATCACACCCTTGTTGAAAAAATCTTAATGTTTCCTTATTATCTACAGAGAAAATTCCAAACTTAGATTCTGAGTATAGTCCATTCCTAGTCTATACTTATAGATTCATTTGTCATTCCTCCCTTGCACAAATTCCTCACTCCAGCTTGACTTGATCACTCCCCACGTCCTAAACACACTTGGCATTTGGCATTTGCTGTCCATGCTTTTGTTCATGCTTCTATTCAGTCTTCCCAAGCTATACCTCACTTGTTGAAATCTGACCTATATCTTTAAGCCCAAGTAATATTTTCAAGAGTCCTGCTCTGATTCCCCATCCAGGAATATTCTCTTTATCCTCTGAAGGTCTGCAGTTGTATAGAAACTACTCTGGTGGTGTATTATACTACACTACAACCTTTAAGGAGCTGCTTGATTGCAAACTTTTGCAGGATGGAGATGAACTCTTTCATCTTTTGATATTGAGAATGCCATGCAGCAGGAGTCTGTGAACATGCTGCTGCTTAATAACTATTCATTGAGTGAATTAATAAATGAATGGCTAATAAATCCAAACAAAAGAGATAATGAATGACATCTTCACTCTAGAAAATATTTTTACAATATATTGGAAAATATATTAATTAACCCAGGCTGCCACAGCAAAATAACAAAGACTGGGTGACCTACACAACAGACATTTATTTCCCATGGTTCTGGAGGCTGTGGAGTCCAAGCTCACGGTGTCAGCAGATTCGATTTCTGGTGAGGACCTCCGGAGTCCTCACATGGTAGAGGGACAGAGGGAGGGAACTCTGGTCTTTCTTCTTCTCTTTATAAGGACACTAATCCCAGCACAAGAGAGAGCCCCTTTGGACTTCATCTAACCCTAAATTACCTCTCAAAGGCCCCACCTTTAAACATCATCTCATTGGGGTTAGGGCTTCAACAAATAAATTTTTGGGGAACCCAAATGTTCAGTACATAACGAGGACATTTAATCACAAAAAATGATTGAATTTAAGCCTGTCTGTGGGAGAATCTTTTTGAGTGAATGGGCATTGTGACCTGTAAAGTCCTATAAATAGCCAGGTTGATTCACCTTTCATATCAGATCAGCCTTGTTTATTAATCTTTGGGTCATTCATAAATGCTAAACAAGATCAGTATCATGCCATTTTTATAACCCTGATTTCCACTAACAAATAAAGACATAATGGGTAAAGACATAAGGTGTGTATTTGTGTCTCTGTATCTGTCTCAAACAAAAAGATCCACATCAAACATATAATAATGGCTTTTTATGGGGAAGACAGTGGCATTGTAGAGGTATATCACCCTGAGTGCTCCTGAACTGTTTTGGTATTTTTGGTAATGAGCATATTTTACATATTATGTTGAAACAGAAGAATGATTTTTAAATCTTTTAAGAATTCTTGGCCTACATGGCACTCTGTATATGAGATCCTGATGTCGCAACTGCCTTCAAAGAGTTCATACACAGTATTCCTTTGGAAGCCCCAAGAAATGAAGAAAATAAAAATGTGGCTCAACCTATTTCCAATGATAGCTCTATTGTTTTCAAAAATCTTACCAGAGTAAGAAAATAATCTTACTGTGAGAGTAAAAACATATTTGGAAAGCAAATATATAGTAAAAAAAAAAAAAAGAAAGGCATGGAAAAGTTGAACTTGTGTGTTTCACAAATCATATAAACTCTTCACACAAAAAGAATTTACAATCCCCAAATCAATGGATTCATAGGTATAAATCTGAAAAACATTGTGATTAAAATCAGTAAAGCTATTGAAGTATTTAAATATTTAATTCTCTTAAGGATCAAGTACATGTTCACCATAAAACAAAATGAGAACATCTGGAAGGCAAAGAGGTTGAAAGATTGAAAATAAAAAAGCAAATGGTGTGTTTAGTGCTACTGAGAGACTTTAGCAAATGGATATCAACCCATTTCAAAATAAATACAGAGTTTGTGTAATTACAATGAGCCTGAAGAGGGGTGTAGCATTTATATACCTCCTGGGAATTTGGGTGAGTCAGAAACATAAAACCAAAGCAAAGGGAGGGTATTGAAATATTATTTCCTGCTGTATTGTAGAACGGAGAAGAGAATAAACATACCGACTACTTGCATGGCCGGTTCCACGTCTGCTGTGGCCTCTTCCAACAATGACAGCAGCTTGGCTGATATCTGATGCACGGATTCAATATTGCTAAACAAGCTATCCACGTCCAGCCGATCAATCTGAAGAAAAACAAACACTGAGTAGCAGCTAATAGAAAGAGACCCGCTGTATTTAGGATGTTATCTCTCACAGTAAGCATTTTGTATGCCAGCCCACCATTTCTGTAAACACCCTTCTTTAGGATTTCTAGAGGAAATGTGCAGTTTTTCATGCAAGAAATTGCGATGGTGCACTTGTTACCTCTGTCTTTTTCTCTATTTTAACTAAATTTTTGTGAGTGGTGGTACATCTACATATGCTTATAAGAATCAGAGTGTGAAGAAGACATGGGCCAGCTAACTGGCACATTTATGAACTGTCCTCCAGGAGGGTGTGTACCTGGGCATATGAATTTCGAACACTGTACTGCTCACACAGCAGAAGTCAGGCCTTCCTCTAGGCAAGAAACTATTTTCAAAGCTGTTTTAAAACATACATGTTCTCAAACTGATGACAAGTAGTTGTGCTGAGCTGTTCCTGTTGTTGTTTTTTTTAAAGAAATGTGAATAGAAATTGTTAACAAACATGTTCTGCTAATTAAAGATTCATCATATCATTTCTTCATGAACTGGTGTTATCATTCCCAGATCTTATGGCTGGTATTTATAATAATTTACCTATTCATTCATCCATCCTTTTATTAAATACTAGAGGCCCAGCGCACAATATCACGCGAGACCCAGACCCGCCGTACCAGTGGGACCCAGACTGACTTCCACCATGCTGGGCAGGACACGGGACCCAGACCCACTCCTGCTGTGCAGGACTGGAGGTGGGAAACAGACTGACTCCCGCTGCACTGGGTGGGACGTGGGACCCAGAGTCAAGTGCCCGCCCACACATGTGCGCCTCGCTGCGCACGCAGCTTCCTGGTGACCAGTCTTTGGTCGTTCCGCCGTGAGGTGTCACAATCAAGGGGTTTTTATAATAGAGATATCCTGAGGACCTTGTATGTACCAAAAATTATAACAGAAGCCACACTCTGTCAGAGGCATTGGATGATTAGTGGAAGGATGGTCGCCTATCCTAACCAATCTAAGTGGAGTGTGTCTTGATTTTGCTGTATCTTGCTCAAAATCTTTCTCTTGAGTTTAAGTTAGATATTGCATAATCAAACAGCATCTACTTGGGTCAGGAACAGATCGGTACAGGCGCCACTGGGCAACCACAGAGAACAGGAGTAGGTGCCTCCTATCCCTCGTTTATTGTGCATGAGGTTGTAGGTGAAAAACCAAACCACCAATAATCACGTCATGGAGGTACTAGTAGAGCTGATAGTCAAAAACCCAGGTCAGCAAAATTCAAAGTTAGAGAGAGTTAGAAAGTTGAGCTAAAGATCAGAAAGAAAGAAGCAGAGGAAGTAAGGGAAATTGGCAACACTGAATATAAAATAAGAGACAGACTTGGAGGAATTTCTGAAGATGAGGTCCAACAACTGCAGCTTCTTTCTCATGCTCTCAGCATCAGTGTCATTGGGTGTGCCACATCCATTTAGTGGGGAGGAAGGAGGCAGGCACCCATCTTTTTCTCTTATCCTTTTTGACATTGACCCATCTATTGTTCCCCATACTGGACATGGATACTATTGATAAGGATATTCTGTTATTGAGCATAGAAGCATCACTTCACATTGAGCCTTGTTTGAAATGTGGTGACTATGTCAGTTATTTCTTATGCAATATGGTCTGACTGTACATGTTTTTTCAACCATCCTGGGAAATTCCTCACTTTTCTATCATCAGTCTTGACCTCAATAAAACTTCCAGTCTCATCTGTAATCAAATACTATGTGATTGTATGTAATGAGTTTATTTCAATATAGTGCTATACAACTTTTTTTCCTATTTTTGTGTATTCTGAAATTATCTTTATCTCTATAGTACATTATTACATTACAATCATTATTAGCTCATAGGGTCTTCAACACAGTATCTCACAAAATGTTCCTTCGTTAAGCACTCACTTTAACAGGATAGGGCCTATGTGGCTCTTCTGCTTAAAATCTATGATATTATTATATAAGCTACCTAAAAGCAGATGATGCTTTGCTAATACTTTTTTTTTACTGTCTAAGTCTACATAATGGCTTGTCTCATAGAGAAGAACACCGGAATAGGCTGGATTTTGTTGCTATAGCTAGCTCAAATTGTGTCAAACAGTGTCATCTGCCACAGCTAATACTTTTAAATGGCTACAATGTCACATAACTCTGAGTACCATGGATTGAATGAATTATTTATTCTGAGTTGTTTTATGCTTTGGTTATTAATTGAATCACAAAGGTGTACCTTTGCCTAGTGCAAGATGTTTTTCTCAAAAGTTGTGAATGTATCAAATTTTTGTAGGTTGAGTTATTTTAAGATGTATTAGTAAAATATTTCTAAAAATCATATTTGAAATAAATCCTTCTAATAAGTAAAATTTCATCCCTAATTTACTTTCTTTGTAAGATTAGATGTAGTTCATACAGTGTACCCTATTATTATTTCATTTTGTTGTGGAACCTTTATTCTGAGGAACTTAAAGTATTTCATATTTATTATTTCATATATCTTTCCAATGTCTCTGTAAAATACATACAGTTTGAATGCAGAGAAATTCATGAAGAATGAAGAAAGGTGTCAAGCTTAAAATGATGAAGTTCAGGAAAGAGCTAGAACTGGAAAATGACCTTTTAGTGCTATGCCTTAGTCCATTACCAGCAAATATTATGAATAGAATACTTTGCCATCTCTGTTTGGATTTTGTTTGTTTGTTTCTGAGTTTTTCACTAAGTTATCATTTTTATAATTTATTTCCCAAGGTCAGAATCTTGTATATCTAATTTAGATTTTAAATTCAGTTAGCAAGGATCTAATTCTATATCTATCTCTAATCTTAGCTCAATGCAATGAATATTAAATAACAAAATATAGGTTTTTATTTCATTTCTATCTGAAAGATAGAAAGGATGAAAACATTAATTGGCTCGGTTTCAACCGCCAGTATCACCACAGGCCCGTGGGAATTCTGTGAATCATAAAATGAATTCACAGTCAGTCACTGCTATGCCAAGGGACAAACAAAGGTCTGGTCCCAATAAGCTTTTAAAACCGGTAGATGATTTTATAATTACTGATATAAATTCAAGGAATCATTTACGTAAATTTACTAAACATTTACTAGGAAGAGGAAATGCTCTAAGAGCTTAAGTAGAGTTATATTTTAAATGGATTAAAAATTCATTATTTTTAAAAAAGATTTCATTTAGGCATACATTATTCTATATATAATAATTTAAATGTACAAAACAGAAAATTAAAGGTCAGTGTTTTTGGTGATAATTCTTTGCTTTATACAAATATTCATCACAGAATCTATTTCAAATAGCAAGTTCCCATTACATTTAAATAATTTTTGCTGAACATACAGTTGCATGTATCCAAAACCACTCAGGTAAAAATGTCTAAGTAAAGGAAAACATCTATAAGACTTTGTCAATTCAGAGACTGTAATCAATGGTATAGAATTACTTTGCACCTGACAAGCACCGTACACTCCTGTTTTCCAGAACATTCCTTGCACTTACCCGCATTTACATCCTAGCCCAAACCCTTCCCTTTCCTCACAAATGCTTTGCCCTCACATTACTTTACAACATTCTACCCATCTGAAATGGACTATGATAATGATAGTGTTTGCCCATGTCTCTGCCCTATTTGCATTTTTTGGGAAGGCCCCAGCACCTCTATCCGATCTGGTGAAACTGTCGGTCATGATGCCCTTCCCCCTGTCCCACTCCCCACAGTGATGGACATGTGACATAGCTGACCGCAGAGAATGGGCAGGTTCCCAAGCAGAGCTAATGAGACTCCTCACTGGTTTTTAATGCATGGTCACTGGGAAATAGAAAGGCTTGGCTTGTAAGCCCTAATTATGTAAGTTTCTGTCTTCAGCAATCATCCTTGTGCAGAGTTTGAATGAGATAAAGTCAACAAAGAGAAGGGAGCTAAGTCTGACAGCCTCATTTTAGTTCCTGGATCAACCTCATCTGAAGCAAGACATCCTTACTACAGAAGTTGATAAAATGCCTTTTTATTTCCTCGAGTTTAAATTTGGTTACCTACCACCAATAAAGGACTGGTACACGTTTCTTTATCTCTGGCCAAAATCTCACTTTCCCCTAAGAAAACTTTCCAGCTCCCTTGGTTAGAATTAACCTCTCCCTCTTCTGACCTTCCATGACACTTGCTTCCTATTACTCAGTGCTTATATTGAAAGATATCATTCATTATTAACCTGTCTCTATGTCAAACCTGTGAGATCCTCCAGGACATTTGTCTTTGTGCATTATTTGAGTGCCCCACTGTGTCTAATCCAGTGCTGGGCCCACACCTACTCCCTCAAAAATAGTTTGACAATTTGAATTGAATTGAATCACTACAATTCATATGATCTATGTACTCTGGGGAAGCCATCAATAAAATGTTCTTTGCAATCACTCTATTGGACTCTGAATAACAAGTATGCAGAGATCAAAAGTGGTTTAAAGAAAGAAATCAAAGTCACCTAATTTGGTTGTTCAAAATATCATTTTAAGTGAATACTTTATAATTTTCTACTTAATTTTATCTAAAAAGACCAACTGTTGTGCTCAGTTGGGCCATTAGTCTATTTAGAAAATTTGCTGACAGGCCAAACTTCCCTTCAGTTTACACTTGGGAAATTGCTGTTTATTGTTTTCTGTTTAAGGAGCCTGAGGCACTCAGCTTGAGTCACAGGGAGGAATAACCAAACATTCTTAGTTTGATGTGTTGTGGAGACTTCCAACCAAGAACACCTTTAAAAGTGCACATTGAAAAGACATCTAGGAATAATATTTTTTTTAATAAACAATGAACATAAAAGTCATTTATGTTTATTGTAGAAAGAGAAAGAAGGAAGAAAGGAAGGAAGGAAGGAAGGAAGGAAGGAAGGAAGGAAA